ACCATGGTATATGCTCCTGTCATCGTCGACTTGGCGATCTCGAGGGGACACGGGTAGGGTAGGTGCAGCTACTTTACCTTTTGACCAATGACAGTAATTGATGGTATGCTCCCATGCATCCTTCAGATAAGAACTGGAGTGCGGTAAAAATCGGTAGAACTGTTTAAAACACATCGTCGGTACTTGAGCGTGTCGGTGATCATCTCTTTTTGCCAGTGGTGGCGGAGGGCAATATCGCACACCATCCCTCTCCAACGGGGGAGTTTGGTAAAGAGAGATGATCAAACCGATTTGTACCTTCCTAAAGTTGTCCTTGCTCGCTTTCTACTCTCTATATGCAATTTTCCCACTGCCGTACTCTAACGGAACTATCAATTCTATACTTTCATCTCCTCATCTATCGTATAAAAATTACCACTTTAGTCTGTTATTTGAAATTAACATCGAACTATTCAAAATTCTTTTTTATCAAATTTTAAAAGGCTCAAACCTTTGTAAACTATTTTTTTTAATTATTCTACTACTATTAAATCAAATATTAAAGATCATCGGGGCGAACAAAAATAGTTTTTGCAGTGCTACAATAATTATTAAAAAGTCATTATGACAGCTATCCATACAAAATAATCCGTTATCAAGTAACATTTTAAGTTTTATAAAATACTACAAAGCTACAATAAAACAACATTCATAAAACCCTGGTCAAGGCTGTTTTGCCATTGATGCATCCACCAAAACCTCATAAGGACTAGAATCTGTCTAGTTGGCCCACCCTGGAGAAGGTTCTGAAAGATGTATTCTCGGAGCTTTTCAAGATTGATTTACTGCAAGAAGGTTATATAACGAACGCATTGAGAACCATTTGAAAACCGTAGTTAAGCTACAATAAAAGCTATTTGGTAACTCAATAAAACCATTTCTTGAGCCGTTTTCCCTAGCTGCTTGCTAAATCCACTAGAAAAGCATCAATAAACATAGAAAAGAATTCATAATTACCATCCGATCTTATCAAAATAACTTAAATAAAAACTGATCGTTTCCTGTTGACTTACCAAAATTATTTAAATAATTCTCATAACGTGGCCTAGTCTTAGGTGCCATATTAAATCTCATGTGAAATGTACGTGATAACACCGAAATAAAAATAGTCCGCCCTCGGAAAACGTTGATTTTATTAATTATTTTAAATTTAAGTGAAAACTAAATTATTCTTAAGATCGATCATCTAGCTTAGCCAAGATTTTGTAAAAGGATTTTCGCATTTTAAATATTTACAACATGAAAAGTTATATCCAAGAAAATATAGATTGAAAAATGAAGATTGTGAAAAACCAACAAAACAATTGTATTATGGCGGAGGCATAAAAGTTGATTTTCATAGACCTTTTGTGAAAAAAGTTGTTTTGCTTTCAAGAAATCCCCAACAAATTAAAAAGGTTTTAAAAAGACTTTTATGAAGAAAACTTGCAGACTGAATTGTATTAATCTAAAGCCGTTTTGCTTGATCCTAACCCGTTCAGATTTATGCCAGCATTTATGGATTGGAAGCAGTTACTCAGAAAGCAGAAATATTTAGCATTTCGAACAGCTTGTTCCCGAAGAAGATCCCCTTCTTCCGGATGGTTCACGAAGTGCACCATCAAACGACGCAGGAATGTACGCTTGAATTAAATTTTTGATGAGTTGACCCTTTAGCCGAATAAAATCGCTCTATTGATCGGAAATCAGCTAATCTCTGCTAACTGGCAGCTTGGTAGTTTGCTGTCGGTACTGATCCAAGTAATTCCGATCGTCACCTATTGGTACTGGTTCAGCCGGATGTGCTGGTTCTTCTAAAGAAGTAAATTTTGCTGAAATCGACTTTCCTTCGATCGATAGAATCGCTTGAATTTGCCATCCTACTTCGTCTATCCTTCGAGATTTCCTTGTCCTGAATTTTAGTTTAATTCACTATGAGGATCCATATCTTTTAAGTTCAATTTGTAATCAGAGTAATTGTGGATTTTATAATACACTTTAAAAAGACTTAAAAGCATTGAAATATGCCTTTTGCTCTCATTTAAAACCCAATGATGTTACGGTCGCTTTTATGATGATAGAACACTTTTATAGAGAATTTGCTCAAGACATTAATAAACAATTGCTGATGAAGTTTATGATTGAATTACAGAACAGTTTTATGGATGGATTGAGAACTGCTTTAAGTTAATTTTTAAAACTAGACAATCGTCGACTTTCTCGCCAGACTATAAAAGGTTTTTGAAATAGCGAAAAACTGAGTTACTAAACAGCAATGGCTTACACTTTGAAATGCTGTATTTAAACTAAATGGATTGTTCATTGCCATTATAAAACCATCATAAATTAGAGTGGTTGGCAAATGGTTGCTGAATTGTTACGTGGAAGATAACTTCGTCAAGATACAAACATAATTTGTCAATTCATAAAAAAAATCACTGGATAACTGTTCAAACGACAGATTTAACGTATGAAATGCAGTGTCTTTTAAATTCTGTAAGTGTTGCTGAACGTTTGATATGTCTAGGCATCAAATTGAAAACATTTATTCCTTTAAAATATAATAAATTTTGTGAAGCACAAGTCAAGAAATGTGGTGTTCTTATTTCAACCGCGTTTCTAGTATTATATCTATGAAAGTCACTTCAAAAGTCATATTTGTCACAAATATCGAGGCAGCAAACCTTTTACTACTTTAAAAATTAACACCATAATCAAATATACAATTCTTTGCTTCACCGACAACCATTGTAAGACATCTAGCATCAAAGTTGAGGAAGTGAATTTATTACATCGCAAAATCAAACGCATTATTTTATTCTGCAAGCGCTGTAATCTTGATATTTGTGTTTCATTGGCCAGAAATAAAATGGAAAGGCAAAAGTCTAGATGAGGAGAGATGATTGATTTGTATAGCTGTATTTTACTGGCAGTAGTAGAATCGTTTTTCAGTCGATATAGAATTCCATACTTCTTGGCAATTTTCTTGATGAACTTAAGTTTGTCATCAATAATCACGCCAAGATATTTAATCTCCCGAACGCGATCAATAGTCTCATCATCAATTACAACAGAGACGTTCTCATTTAATCGATTCCGCGAAATTACTATAAATTTAGTTTTACTTGTATTCAATATCAACTGCTTATACTTCAACCATCTACTTAGAGAACGCAAATCTTCATTCAAGTGTCAAACGGCATCATCTAAATCCTTAGCTGCAATGAATAACACAGTATCTGCAAAAAGATTAATGTCGCAAAATCGTAAAACACGGCGCAAGTCATTAATATGCATAATAAATAACAGGGGCCCTAATATACTTCCCTGGGGCACTCCAAGGTTATTTCCCACGGGACTGGAAACAGAATTATTAAAAACAGTCCGTTGAGTTCTGTCAGACAAATAGCTTTCAAACCATTTATATACAGAACACTTAATTGCAAAGCACTTGATTGATCTTAACAATAAGGGCCTAGAAATTGTTTCAAAAGCGTGTTTAAGATCAAAAAAAAAAACAGCAACAATCGTATCTTTACACTCCAAGTTATTTTTCCACTTCGCTAATACCAAATTCAACGTGGTTTCACAAGAATGACCTTCCCGATATACCGATTAATCTGGCATCAACAAACTAATTACTATTTAAATACTCCAACAGCTGGCGTTTTACAACAAGTTCTAAAATTTTCTCTAATGTGTTCCAGCAACTTTTTGAATAGGGACCACTAATGATTCCTTCCAAATTTGTACTTCAAGAAATAACAGTTTGAAAACGGGCAGTCAAATAAGAAGCGTTCTACTAGAATTATTCAAACTTCACGCAGACTCATCTAATAAAGTTCAAAACAATATCAATAAACCTTCAATCGATGTTCAACCAGCAACCCAAATTTGACGCACATCCTGAAGAAATCACGATGTTATGTTACACATACTTTTGTCCCGTACTGTATGTTTCAAGGCTATTAGAATTAAGAACAAAATTAAGAAACTTGCAAAAATGGTGGGTGAATGTGGCCATAAATATTCAGACTGATACTGACGATGCGTTGTCACGTAATTACCTAATCCTAATAATCTAAACCTAAACCTAATAATCACCTTTGTTTACGAACATAATTTCAGAAAAAAAAATCTTGAAAAATTAACATATTAATCCACTTTTAACATGTACCAATCAAGGTTGCAAATACTCATTTCAGCTAAAACAATGTTTTTTTTTTAATTATGAAAAAAATAGAAGCCATGATCATATTTTGAAGTGGTAGGATACAAGAAGAGGTTGCAAAGAATGTGCTTGACATATTAAATCTGTTTATTTCACTTCATGAGAGTCACAATCAGCGATTTTTGAAACACTCACTCACTCACTCAGCGATCAGCAAATCGCTGATTGTGACTCATAGAAAGCAACATTTACAGGTTTTATGTTTCAAACGTATACATTGTAACCTATTCTTGTAAGGTACAAGTAAAACATGCCATCATACCATCTTTTGGTTTTATTATTCCGAAAAACATTATTTTAGCTAAAATGAGTATTTGCAACCTTGGTATCAATTTTAAACCAAAATTAATAGTTCTGATCATATATTCGTATCCTACACACTAAAAAATACCTAATTTTATACGAGACGGAATCCACCTTTGACATAAAGGATGAGACGTAAACGTAAAGTGCTCCGAGACTGAAAAGTTCAGTACTCGACGAAAAGTAAGTTTGATTGAGCTGAATTTCGCATCTATTATGACTCAATTCGTCAAAATTAACTCTCGTATATTTCAGTCCCTGGGAACTTAAATTTACAAGAAATTTTCTAAGTGTGTGTGCATCATACAATTTAAATGGTTTTTGTTATGAAATTGTCACCAGTCTTTACTATACCAAATGTGCAACTGAAATGCACACATTCTTTCATCATCAGCTTGCAGTTCCCGTATGCATGTTAAATCGAGTAATCACATTCCAGATCACTTACACTCAGGCACCAAGATATGACAATCTTCATAAAAGCCACACCATAAAGCCCTTTTGCTCCGTAGCCTTGGTGGGTCTGTAGGTTCTTCTTGTTGTCGTTGAATTAATCCTTTTTTTTACAGCTGAACGATGATAATTTTCTTGTTCACTTTTGTTGATCGACACTGGTTATCTTTTCCTGATATTTTATTTTCGCAAAATCACTGCACTTCAATTCTTTCTGTAGTAATTTTTCGCTCTTTTGAAACTTGACACAGCACTTTAATCTCCTTGGCCCCTTTTTATGCTATTTCGCTGCTACTGTTGATTATTTCTCACTACCAGCGATGATGTTGATGATTTCTGTGGAAAAATAACAAACACCCCGAAACCGTAAGAAATCTCCTTGGCTGGCGCATGAGGCCACTGAAATTCCGAACCACAAAGTAATACACAGAAGAAGCAAAGAGATCAGCCGTCGTCGTCGTCGTCGCACAGCGCAACACGAAAAGAGCAACATAAAATAAACATAAAAACAAATCGTACATATATGTGGATGGTGCACTATCCTGCTTCTTTGCTGTCTCGGCTATGCACCGAATGTCTCCACACACGAAAAAAAAAACACTCCTGAAAAACCGCATAAGACTCGCTCTCTCCCGTTCGCTCTCACGCGCGATGCAGATCTTGGAACAAATCCCGAAGCAGTCGAAAAATGCACCATAAGAAGTAACTTGAAGTTCTGCTTTCCACCCGCTTTACTCCCGCCTCCCGCACTATAACATGAAATACGCTGAGATTTTCCTTTCTGGTCACGTCGATCAGCACCGCCGAGAACCTTACTCTTCTTCTGGGGAATGAATTGAAATTTTCACACTGCTCGTTCAAATTCCTGCGAGCACCAACTGTTTCACTGATCCAGAATAAATTGATAAGAACTCCATCACCGAACCAGGCCTCAAGTGTTGCAAAATTTCCTTGAAAAAACCCTCGAATCCGTTCACCACTCCACCATGTGAAACATCCAAGAATTCGGCCGGACGATTTATGTGATAATTTTTCTTATGATTTCTTCTACTACTAGCGCAGTGCTTCTTCTTCGTATTACCACATTAATCCATCCCGTCCCTCCCGTCACACACCCAGAGCGGAGGAGCAGATCAGTGATCAGATCCTCTCTCCTTGTCACACTCACAGACCCTAATGGCAAAAAACTGGCCACTCTCTGTACTCGACCGGCCAAAACGTACGTCCACCCGATACGACCGAATCCACTCGACTGCGAGAGGACTGCCGTCTCTGTGGATCGCGAGCACGTACCCTACAGTCGACCGGGACGGGGCGCGTCAGTGTAGATGTGAACGATCGCTGTGTCGGTGGCGGCGGCACTGTCTGAGTTATGTCGCATGCTCGAGCTAAGACGACGACCAGCAGCAGCCAGCAGGATAGGATCATCGCTTACCAGCTGCGTAAAGTATATGCGGCTGTGTGTAAAGATCAATGTGCTGCGCGGCAGGTTGGGATTAAGGAGGCGAGTGGTTCTGATCATTGTATTGTGCCCATGGTGACTTCAACTAAGTTGAAAGAAACGAACCCCTGTTATTTTTTAATTCAAAATTTGCCACCACGTAAGTAGCCTCCTCTGTATGAGTTTTAGAAGTTTAAGGCAAAGTTCCGTGAGCTTTTAACACTCCGAACACGATGCCTCCGGTAAAATGTGTAACGGCAAATTGGCAATGTTTGAAAAATCATAGCTCAGCAATTTTTCGACAGATTTTAAATCTATTGATACCAAATAAATTTTTAAAGTAAGTAGTTCCAAATGGCACCAAAATATTGTGATTTTTCAAACATTGCTAGTTTGCCGTTACACGTTTTACCGGAGGCAGCTTGTTCGGTGTGTTACGAAGTTTTTAAAACTTAAGGAAAATAACGGGAACTTCAAGAAATATCAAGAAACATCAGGACAGTTAAATTAACTTTACTTTACTTTTAAAATATATTTATAAATTCAGGGCAGAGCACTTAAGAGAAGTTCAGAGATCTTTCTCGTAGTCCCAATAACATAAGCAAAGTCACTATTGGGGAAATTTAAAGACGATGATGAATTTGTTTCCATAATTTTAGGGTGTTTCCATGAGCTTAAGTGAAAACCTTAGAACGTCATGTATTATTTCGTTCTAATTTCAGGTAAATTGCGGGGACTTAAAGAAGTTGAACAAAGTTCAGGCGAATCCAAAGAATTCAAGGGAAGTTAAGAAATTTCAGGACAACTGTGGGAACTTCATAGAATTCCAGACAACGTCAGGAAAGATTAGAAACTTCAGAAAAAAATCTGAGAACATCAGGAAAATGCAAAAACATTTTAAAAGAAGTTCCGTAAACTTCAGGGCTGTTTCGAGAGTTGAGGGAACGTCACGGAAGACCATTGCTAATCATTTACTTTCAGAAAAAAATGCGGGAAATATAAAGAGGCCAGAGAACATTAGATTTTTTTTTACAGAAAACTCAGAAGAACGAGAATTTCAAAAACTTTGGAGAAGTGCTGAGAACTTCACGGAAGATCAGAGAACCTTAGGACAGTTCCATTAAATTCAGGAAAATTACTAATTTTTTATTGAAGTTTCGAGAACTTCGTGGAAATTGTTAACACTTTAGGACGTTCCTATAATTCCAGAAAATTTCGGGAACTTCAAAGATGATGATCTTCCCTAACGATGAGGAAATTTTGGGCAAGTTCACAGAAGTTCAGCGATATTTAAAAAGTCCAAGGGAAGTATCGTGAGCATCAGAGCTTTTGACGTAGGATTACATTTTTCGGCAACATATTGGGGCTTGCAATTCAAAAAAACCAAAATCATACGCATTAAGAAAAGGTGTCAGGTTTTCACCTCTTAACTCTGTCAATAGCGGATGGATTTTAGTTCTAAACAAGCCAATCGATTGGATTTTTTTCTACGAATCTGCTAAAATGAATACTGTATTAATTTTCAATAGGTCACTATTAAAAATTACACAAATGTCCAACTGTTGCAATGGTGATCAAAATAATCACCGATTGGCTGCAAAAAGCGTTTTCCCTAGCACAGATTTCAAAATCGAATTTCATTCGGTCTCACTGAACGGTGCTTATTCAATCACCGTGTGTGGTGGTGTCCGATGCAGCAGCGGCAGCAGCAGTGCTTTCGGCGCGTGGCGTCCCACATGAGCGTCCATTCACCAAACGAGGAAGAAGCCGCACCGTTACTGATCGGAATCAGTATCTCTTCGTGAGTCGCTGTGGGCCATCTATGCCAAGCGCGTCACCCTCGTTCAAAAAAACATCCAGCTCAACAGCCTCATCTGTATTGAAAACCCTAATAGCTCAGCATTACTCAACCATCACGACAAAACTTTTCAGGACCACCATATTTTTCTTAGGGTATTTTCTGGACATTTGTCAAGGTCATCAATCGGATGTGAGTTCCCATATGTTTAAATATAACATCCAAAAACCAAAGTCGGTTGCGGCCTGAAAGTGGTCTTATTTTGATCTAGAGATGATGGATTTTAATTCTCAATACGTTACGGCTCGTCCTGAGCCGCTGTGGGCCATCTATGCCAAGCGCGTTACTCTCGTTTCAAACAACATACAGCTCGCCATACCACCATAAATTATTGTTAATTTTCATAAATTTTCGCTCGCACTTGCTGCCAGCCACATCACCCTCAAAGCTCTTTGATAATTCAGCCAGCAACCAACCGTTTGTGGTCAAATGCGTAACAGTGTTCAAGTGGTACATACAAATTCTCGCAATGACCGAATACCACATGACCTTGGATGATTGATCGCCAAAATCTCGCGGTTGGCAATGAAATTCCTCCTTTTTTATCTTGAATAAACCAAAAAATCTATGCGTTAGTACACGAAAACTTTTAATTTTGTCATCAGAAAACGAGGCGTTTCCGTGATGGGAAAAAGTGGTTTCCCTAACACAGTCGCCGAATATTGATACTTGATACTACTTACTTAGAGCTAGAGCTAAAGTCGGAGTTGAAGTCCGACTCCAGATGTTATGAAAAATTATCTAAAGTTAGAATAGTGCATCCATAGCTTTTCTATCAGATAAATTTTCCTAGCTAGCCAAATTTGATCTATCAGTTAAGTGAAATCAAATACAAGGCCACGTAGAACCACAGTCCTTTGCTAAAATGGTGGAACAACAGATTCTTTTCATTTGGCAGTTTTTTTTTAATACTGTATTAGCGAGATTTTTAGATAGATTTTTATGATTTGGAAGTTTTGATTAGTTTCTGCAAAAGTTTTGTCCATTTCCATGGAAAGTGGTCAAAAGTTGTAAAGGTTTCCGTATATTGCATACTGGCAACTGCCAACCGCTCTTAATCTAATTGCTTAAGGAAAACTTTTTGGGAGTGAATAGCTCTCCAATGAGAGTTCAGAACCGAAAAAGCATGACAACTGCCATTGACGGTCACGCCCATCTTCTCCGTTACTGTTAAAGGAAGGATATTGTTGTTGTCACATCTACTTCACGAGACTCATCGATGCCACATATTAAATTTAGTGAAGATGCAGCACCGTCTCCTTGAGGAGATCGAAGTAGGTCCCGCTGGAAAGTTGACACGTTTTTAATTTTGCTGCCGATTTTCATTTGGTGATTTTAACCATTTTAATCATGGTTAAACAAACTTTCGACTGTTCAATTGTTCAAAATCTCATGGACGGGATTGGATAGATCAGACCATGGCAGATGATAAGTGAAAAAGAAAAAGAAAAAGAAAAAAGGAAGATCCAGGAGCGGTGTTTGTTGGAAGCTATCTTAGCTGATGGGCAAAGAAGATCCTAAGATCACGATGGTGTGAATCCAGCAGGCTTATAGTGATACCGAGAGATGCCGGACTGTTGCATTTGATGCATCTCTTTCCGAGGGCTGACAACGAGTAGCGGTTTTCCTTAAACAAGATCCAAGAAACTTTTCTGAACTGTATTCGGGAGCTTCAAGGATTATTCGGGTGAGATCCTTCCTTTTTATTTATTTAGTTCGTAACATTATGTTCCATATACATTTCACTAATACAGTACTAAGAAAACAAATTGGGGAACTCGGCTAGCTTAGTGCCTGCTGCGTTTGCTTACTGTGCATAAGATCGTGGGTTTATTATCAAATTCCTCAAAAAAAAACAATCATATGCTTTTGGTTGTATCGCCTGGTTGAGACGTATCCTGACCTAATACCGTACCCAATACTCCAACTCCGTAGTACTTATGAGGGTGTCACTGATTCGGTGGCCTCTCGGTTAATATAGACACACAAAAGGAAAACTTCGCGAGTCATTGTGAGTTTTAGCGAACTTTTCCTGTAGATTGATTAGAGACACGTTTTTTCAGTTTCAGAACAAGGGCTCCTTCCTCCTTTTCCTTTCTCCTACGGTCTTTTATTCCATTTTTTCTTTTCAGAAAGCGAGTAATGGCGCTATAACCATAAGCCATATAGGGCTAAGACAAGAGCTAGTGCTCATGTCCCAACCACTCGAGGAAAATAAAGCATCATTTAACTTTTTTTAGATTAAATGCTCCCAACGACCAATCATTTATAATAACGGAACGTACGGAACGAGATGTCCACGTTTCATCCATTTATTGGATTCTGAAGCTTGGTTTTTAAATATTTGATTTAAACAGGCCCGATGTTTCTGAATCATCTTGCCCCTTAAATGCTGCACAGTAGGCCTGGCCGTTTTGATAAATTTTGCGCATTTCTGATGTACAAAATATACCAAATAGACAAGAAAAGGATGGAGGTATATCTATCATTTTCCAGGATGCTTTCATGAACTGGCTGTGTTGGTGTTAGATTAGATTAGATTAGATTAGATGCAGCACCGTCTCCTGGATTTTGGAAAAAAAAAACAGTTTTGTTTATTAAATGTTATTACACTTGTTAGAGCAGATGTAATTCAAAACATCGAATTAGTATTGTCATTATCAAAATCATATTTTATTTTTGCCTAACATAAGTCAGAAACCCTTCCCTAATGCACGCACGAGCGATGGAGCCTAGTTGCTTGGCAACGATATTTATTTACTGTTGTAGAACAAATAGTTTTTTTTTCTTTCTTTTTGACAGGCAATCCAAGCGTTTCTAGCACAGTTTCAACGAAAGCTTTAAAAGATTTGATGTACCTATTGAAATATTTACGGGTTATTTTTGTTCTCCCTTTAACTGATCACTGCACAAACTTAATAACGCTCTGGTATTGTATCCAATTGAGTTGACGTCTTGAGCGAAGTTTCT